ACCCGTCCTCATTGCTTCCCTCTTCTTCTCATGCTGTTCTCTACGTTTTCCTACAGCTCGCCTCTATTTCCAGTGCGCTCATCCATTGCTGGCAATGCTGGCAATGGATGAGCGCACTGGAAATACGAGTGAGCTGAAGGAGAACGTGTAGTACAGCATGAGAAGAAGAGGGAAGGAATGAGGGCGGGTCGGTTTGGTGGGGGTGCAACTGGGGGCAGGACAAAGTTCCCCACGTGCGGTAAAGTTTACATGTTTGCTGCGGACTATACCACAGTTGCACTGGTTTGGTTGCGGGGGCTTCTGGGTCAGACTACACATAGGAATCCAATCTGCGTAAGCTGTTTATTGCAAAAATCGTTGTGCGCAAGATCTCTAACGTGTTGTTGACAAGTGACCTCATATGAGGCTACTTTTCAACTTATTTTTCCTCAACTTGTGCCTGCTCAACAGGAAGGAAAAAGATACTCTCGCCACCGCAGTTGACTTCTGCGTTGCTGAAGGAGGGGTTTTGGTGAGATACAGACGTGTTTTCCAGCCGTTTTTAGAATGCCTGAAAAAGAAGCCTTTTTGACCAACCTCAAAACGTTATGTGTTGGTATCTCGAAACCAAGACGAGTGTTTAAAATGTCAACCGGAAATTGAAACTTGATTAGATTCTTAGTCATTCGGTGTATTGACAACTGCTACCCTTGGGTATCCCAACGTTTTGCAATATGTTATAGCCGAGGGCATGTACGTTAAAGAAATGGCGTCCAAAGTGATTTTATAAAGTTTCGATTATATTTTTGCAAAAAAAAGCTGGCCTCACGTGAGTGAGGCCATGTCTGACCTCATTCGTACAAAGTACTGTACAAGTAAGGATGAAGGATTTCTTCTTCGTTCCTGAAACACGGTATTGTGAAACACGCAGTCTCGAGCTCGGCGATTCCTGCAGATCCGTGGACGGTCAACAGACCTGAGCCTGTAGTGGCATTACTGATACAGTGCGGTATCCCACACCAAGGGAGGCAGAGCAATACTACTCGTACGTCCTACTGTAACGACTTAAGGAGCATGTGCAAGGGCGTCATCTTTTTCCTCTACAGTATTCTGATATTCTGATGGCGAACACGGGAGGGCAGTGGCATGGAAACACGTACACAGTATATTGTTCATACTGCACACGTACAGCAGGTGTGCCAAGGCATTTTTTCTTTCTCTTTATCACATGATAGGAGGGGGGGCATACACACTAATTCATACTGCAGATTTTATGTGTAGACTGTTTATGGTACTGTATGCACACGTGTGAGGCGGAGGAGGCTTGGCAGGACAACTCGCGGGCAACTCGCCACGACCATGGGGCTTATGCGAACAGATGCGATGCCCATGCCATGGCCATCGCGTCTGTTGGCAGGTGACATTCCCCCACAAAGTTGGCGGGAAGTCGCGAAAGGAGAGACACAATTGGGCCAGATGAGGTATTCTGAATTAAAGAAGGGCAGGTGTGGAAGGCAAGAGCCATTTGCGCCGTTGGCCGTCCCCGAGTCTCCCGGTCCGGATGTTTGCATTCGCTGCGGTGTTGCAACAGTTGCGATCATTATGTCGCGCACCAATAAACACACGGTACAGTATCGTGCCCATGCGGCGCTCTTGGCCACCGTTGTGTCAAAACAAATGCTCCCGTAGTTTGTCGAAAAGACAGACACCTCAATAACTGCTAAACTAGAAATTCTTTTACTGTAGGCATTGGCACGGCACTCAAGAAATCCCCCGGACTGCCAGGCGATCTCAGCAAGGGACCTGGGTTGCAGAGTAGCGATGGGAACTTTCTCCCTCACTACAGTACTGTACGGCAGCAAAAAGCTCTCTCGTGCTTTTATGCAACCATCAAACGTATGTGTTAACGCCTGGGTGATCCGATCCCGCTTTGTACCGTACTGTGGTTGCTGTTGGGTTTTTCGAGGCCCTGCCTGTCAGACACAATGTAAACAAAGCGCAGGTGAGTACGTGTATAACATAGAAACTTCTTGAATGCATCTTCAGCCCATTACGTATCATAGAGCATTTAACACTACAGTATTTCAACATCCGATGATACACTGGAAGCCGATGAATGAATTGATTTCCAGTAACCGTACTGCCCACTGCGAGCAAATACAGCAAAGTGTTGTTACCATCACCGATCTTGCTTGCATCACAATGTTTGTTGGTCCTGGTGTCGTCAGTCCTCGACAGCATTAAGAGACTGTGAGACTACTGGTGAAACTAACCATTTCCGCCCCCTTGCAATACCAATCAGAATGACCAACGGTTCTGCCTCTTCTTATTTCAACCTACTCGAAAACCATTGATCGCGTGTTGAGACCCAGCAGAGAGCGGCAACAGAGCCATGCATAAATCCAGAATAGTCGAACGATACAGTATGTTGCCGTTCATGTGGACGGCCCCTCTCGTCAACTTTAAACACCCTTGAAGCGATCTTGATTCCTACACCATCGAACAGGCAAACAGCATGTTCGTCAATCTCCGTATTTATTCATTACATGTATTGGACAAGCCCCACCCTCGCCGTTCTCTCAAGAGCATAATCTCTCCGTTGTTACTTGCGTGTCCCAGCTGACCGCGCCCTCACCATGAACAACCTCATTTCCTTCTCCCTTCTCATCGCCTTAACCATCGCCCAAGCCATAGCGGAGTGCGTGCAACCGACCGGTATTTCGAATCCATCTGCGTATGCAGCGCTACCACCCAACAGCCCGTCACCAGCGGATGCTGTCTTTTTCAAGCACATTTTGCTGGCGCGTGTGGAGATTGCAAAACGCGAGCCCCCAATCCAATTTTACTACGTCCAAAACATCGTTTCTACCCTGTACAATACTATGGGCTCCTTCGAGGAACTCGCACTCGATGCTTGGGGAAACGATCAGCCGGTCAGGTTTTGCAACGACTCGTCGAATTTTGCTTTGTACAGAAGCGTCGCCCTGGCGTACATTACTCATATGTGCTTCTCAAACTCGTTTCCCGAACTGCGTGCTGAATTCGATTCTCTCGTGACACCGTGGGGTATCAACCCAAAGTTGTGCACTGACTCGTCCAAGCCGAACGCTTGTGGAGATATCAATACCCCATGGGGCCTTGCATTCTTGCGGTACAGGCAATTTCTCGACTGGACATCGCGCGACGGATGGAACAGGGACGGGGCTATCAGCCGTGAATATAATAGAATCCCGTTCCAGGACTGGACTCAGGACCCGTATGTCCCTGAAAACACCCCGTGGGAACTCAAAAAGAAGGAAAACTGGCAGCCTCTTATGGAGGACAATAACATAGGCTTCTTGTTTTATCAAGAGCATGTCACTGCGCATATTGGGCAATACGGGCGGTCTCTCTACGTCGATGATGAAGACTATTGTTCTGCTGAGGCCCCGAAGCCGAAGTATAAATACGATGAGGAGCTCAGGGAACTCATCAGGCGTTCGGCCGCAATGGCACAGGATGATGTTGCTAAGGCGAAAGTTCAGATATTTGACAACAAGTTCTCTTCCCTAGTGTTCCTCCAAATTGACTTGCTCTTTGCGAACGGCTTTCACGCAGACTCTTGGAAATTCATCGAGGCCGATACAATAAGTGCGGCTGCCTTGTATGAATCAGTTATGCTTGTTTGGAAGGAGAAGATCGCCCATGACGCCTGTCGGCCGCCTTCACGCATGGTAAGGGATCTTGCTGGTCAAAAGATATTCGCGTATGCCGGGGCTAATCAAGGTAAGAAGCAGATGCGAGCGGAAGATTGGGAACCATACATTCGTACCATGCCGCATTCGGAGTATCCAAGTGGCAGTGCATGTTTCTGCGCAGTCTTTGCGGAGTCGATGAAGCTATTTTTCGGTAGCGACAATTTTCTGGCTAATGGAAAGCCGTCCCCGTTGTCTCTGAAAGTAGCGGCTGGACAATCCCTTGTAGAACCGGGAAGACCAAGCGCAGATGTGACTCTCGTATACAATTCATGGAGCGCTGTTGCCGAAGATTGTGGGAAATCACGGCTTACTGGCGGGATGCATTTCACAGCTTCAGTGCCTGCAGGAGCAGCACTTTGTGCACCGTTCGGAAGGCGTATGTTTGATGTTATCAAGGCTCTGTCCAGTGGAAGGAAGGAGGGCTTTATTCAAGACTTCGAAAAGCCTCTGCAAATGGAGTCGAGATGTCGAAAGAGGAGAAGATAGCAGGCAGGCGCGTTTGTACAGTTTAGAAGGAAATCGTATGAGCTCTACACAACTCATATGAAGTATTGGGGATTTAGGGGTTTTAGTGATGACACGTATTCCCGTAGAAACGCAGCGAGAATAATATTAAAGAGGTGCGTGCAGCAAGAACGAAAGACACAGTATACAGTAAATTTATGCCGTATAGCATGTCGAAATGTCGCGCACGCGCATATATACTGTGAGATATTTTTAGGGAAAAATTGCATTTTACTGTAGAGGGAGATTTTATTCTGTAGTCCGAGATTTTATTTGAATTTTAGAGAAGCGCACGCGGACGGCCCGGCGGAATCCGGGCCGGATGCGTGGACGCTTCTGGAAGGAATTTCGTAGAAATAAAAGAGAGAGGGTGACGGGCGCTGCGGGGAAGGGAGGAGACCAGTCGGCCAACCCTCACCACGAACGGCACGCTCCCCAGAACCGCCTCCCCCATTTCACCGACAACATATACTGTACGGCGTATTTGATATGATAACACCATCCAAAAGGTGCATGCACAGTTTGGATATTGATATCCCGCGTGCTTACAGAACATGGGCTCTAAGCTTACCGTCCCCGCAGACGGCAAGCTTACATGGACCTATCTGTACTACGCGCACGTCCGCGCTTCCCACGCCCGGAGATAGAACAATAAACAACTCGAGCAAGCAATTCTAGGCTACTCTAGTCTGCGAAGGCACATGCCGGAGCCCGTTCTCACCCTTGAAGGCGCAACGCCGGATCACTCACCCCCCCCCCTCTATTTCCCTTCTCATACTATCATTTCCCCCTTTTTCCCGCGCGCCAACCCCTCTCTCTGATCGTACCGAGAGCAGTGCACGCGAAGCACAAGGCCCCTTTCGACGACAATCCGGATTCGAGGGGTTTCCTTGTGATTCCCACCCCGCTTACGTCTCCTTTCCGACATACTAGGAGATGTCTCAGGTTGGCTCTTCCGCCACCGATGGTCCGCCCGCCGCTGACAATGGTCAAACGACCGCTCCGGTCATTGTGACGAAAGCCAAGGCCTTTCAGATATACTTCCGGCTTCAGAAGATGGCGAAGTGCGTCCAAGATGAGGATTAATTTCATCGTCAGTACCTCGGGGTCGCCCGGAATGTGCTCGAACTATTCGCGGTTCCGCAGAGCTCTGGAACTACCGCTGCCGTTATGCCGGACCCTTTGGAGGTATGCGAAGCCATGTCAGATATGCTTCCTAGCCCCTCTTCCGTCTTCACGGCCGACTACTTCAACCACCCGGTCTTCCCACTCAAGGTTTTGTACAGCATTGCCGATCTATTTGGGTTGGGTGGAATTCCCGGTGACTTCTTGGACCAAGTGTGCATCAGAGATCACGAACGCGCCCACAGGAGCATCATGATCCAAGCCTTGTTTGCCTTTGTCCATGGTTTGGACCCCAGCTCCACCCGCTCTGTCATAGACAGATTTCAGCAGGCGCGTTCCCTTCCTTCTCGACGAGCTCTCAATACCCACATGATAGCAACTGCGCCCGCGACCGAAGATCCTATTAAGGCGCCAGGAACCTTACCCCCCGTACGCCCCCAGCAAGCTCACGGCCCCTCATGGCTCTAGAAGCGGAGCAGTTCACTTTGACAACCGCTTCAATCATGGCCATGAACGTGCCACCAGTCGTGACCTGGCGCCCAACTCGGCTTCAGGGGACATGCGCCAGAGCGGACCCGTTAGATTTGACCAGCGCCCGCAGAACGGCCAAGGCTATTCTCCGACTGCGCATGAACCCAACATGGACACTGGTGACACTCGCAAAGCAAACTACGTGCACCAGCAGTTCTCTGGTCGGAAGTTCAAGGGAGACCTCAGTCAGTCCGTGGACCTCCTGCTACGTGACTACGAGGCATGCGCACATCACCACCGCCTAAGGCCTGCTCAGAAGGCGGAGTACTTCATGAATGTCCTCGAGGGCCCTGCTCGTACCTATTTCCTCAACAATTACGCTCAAGGAATGGCTTATGAGCAGGTGGTTGAGCTAATGAAGCGCCAGTACGACAGCTACTCACGCCAGCTCCAGGTCCATTCCACCCTTGAATGTCTCAATTTAGACACCTTCATGTCCACTCGCTCTCTGACAACCCACTCTGATGGCCTGACCAAGCTGGTCGACTACCTGGAATTGCTCACCCCGCAATGCCCTCCTGGCTTCCGATCAGACGAGAACAAGATACATTTCCTACGAAAGGCTGTTCTCGGTTGTGAATGGGCGCTCTCTCCCATTCGCAACATCGTCTCCCATCGCTACAAGTTCCACGCGTTCGTAACGGCCTTACATGCGAGCCTCCAGCTCTCCAACGAGCTCAAGGATGTGCCCCCGCCCGCGTATCCCACACACAGCGCGGAGATGTACGAGAAACAAGCCGCTGATGTCTTCTTCCAACGCTACGGCCGCAATCCTCGTGACGTTCGGAACCGGATGTCTAACCGCCCGCCGGGCCGTCCCGATCGGCCCCGATTCCCGCCATCGTCTCGCACGCCTCCGGACCGCAATGAGGTCCGCCACGGGCGCACGTTCGACGAGGCGCGCCGTCGCAAGTAATGTTTCAAGTGTGTTGCTCCTTGGCTGCCCGGCCATCGATGCCACGCATGGGCAATTGCTGCCAGCGCGCGCAGCCGACTCCGCAAGGGTGAATCTCACGTCCACATCATCCGAGACTACATTCTCGGAATGGAGGGAGAACAAGAACCTCACGAAGGTTCTGCTTCTCCTGGGACGGAGGGAGACAACTCTGCGGCAAAGGAGCTGGACGACGCCTTGTACTATGCTCGTGATGTTAGTGACCATGCCCCGTATTACACTGACAAGTTCGACGGTGATGTGGTCACCAACGTGGTATCCGCAAGCGTATCAGAGCAGATGCTCTCTGCGGATTTTCGCTAAGGCGATGTGGACAAGTCGCTAATCCTCATCGCCCTCACCGGTCGTCCTATCAACATAGGACTGCGACTCCTCGCCGCAAACTCCCGGTCGTTGACATCGACTGCACGAAGATCTTCGCGGCGGACCTCCAACGTGAATGCTCTTCACGACGGCCTCTCGGGTTCTGCGTTGATATAGGTGCCCCTAAGTCGGTTGTCGGCAAGCAAGAGCTTAACCGACTCCTAGCGGCTGCTGGAATGCACCGCCGCAACATCTGCCGCTCGGCACACCGCTTCCGCTTTGGGGACGAATCCTTCCAGTCCCTTGGACGACTCTCTCTGCCCTTCGCTACTCCGCCGGGTTTCAAACCCATCCTTGTCGAGTTTGACATCGTCCAGGCAAACATCCCATCTTTGCTGGGCATGGATGTCTTGGACCGAGAGAAGCTCGTCGCCGATACAGTCTTCAACCGACTGGCTCGACGATCGGCAAACGAACTAGAAGAGGGGCGTATGACCTATGTCGATGAATGGTTCATACCCCTTGTCCGCTCGCCGAGCCGGTACGTCTACGTCCCTTTTGACTGTGGGACACGGAACTACTTCACAAAGGCACGGCTCAACAAGTTGCACATCCAGTTCTTTCACCCATCCACTACTAGGCTCTTCAACTTGCTAAGGAAGGCCCGCCCTGACGATGCGACGCCAGAGACGCTCCATATCCTTCGGGATATATCGAAGCGCTGTGATCCCTACCAACGAATCAAGCCTGGGCCTACCTGCTTCCGCGTCTCTTTTGGTACCGAAAACGCCCGCTTCAACGAGAGGATCATGATGGATATCATGTACATCGACTCCATGCCCATCTTGCATATCGTTGACGAGTCGACCCGCTTCTCTGCAGCCCGCTTCCTCCCCAATGTTATCACCAAGGCAATCTGGGACACCCTGCTTCGCTGTTAGGCCTCGATCTACACCGGTCATCCCAATCGGATACTGGTCGACCAAGGCAGCAACCTCGGCAAAAGCGAGCCTTTCGTCTCCCTTGCTGCAAGAGCAAACGTAGAAGTTCAAGGCACGGGAATAGAAGCGCACTCAAGCCTTGGAATCGGGGAACGGTATCATGAACCAGTCCGTACCACCTTCCGCAAGATGGTGCTCGTATATCCGAACGTGGACAAGACGCTCCTCCTTCAGATGGCTATCAAGGCCATGAACGACACTCTGGGACCAGAAGGCCTAGTCCCATCGTCCCTCGTCTTCGGAGAACTACCTCGCGTCTACACTGCCTCGGAAACGACTCAACCCCGAGATACTCTTGGGGAACGTGCCGCGATGGTTCACGCTGCCCGCACTGAGATGCAGCGCATCATGGCTAAGATGCGCGTTGCACGAGGCTTGCGACATTCTGTGCCACTTGCTGCAAACCGCGCTTATGACCCTGGCGATCAAGTCCTAGTCTGGCGTGAGAAAATCGTCAATCACCGCATTGGCGAATGGCTCGGTCCCTTTGCCTTTCTCGGGATGGACGCCAGCAAGGAACTTGTATACATGCAGGATGTCAAGATCGGTGCGGCTCGCCCCTTCAATGTCGCTCAAGTCAAGCGCTGTATCGCCCCAATGGATGGCGCCCACTCCTTCTTTGCCGACCTTTATCGTAGCCTTTCGCACTTCTCGTCTCCGGGTGATGACGATGACTGCGTTCACTTAACCCAAGTCATTCATCCGAAGGACCCCCGAGCAACTTCTTCGGACATGTCCCAAGCGAAACGTGATGAGATTCGCGGGCTACTCGACCGCGGGACATTTAGCGTCATCCTTCGAGAAGAGGTTCCTCCCGACGGCAACGTACTACCAGGTCGCTTTGTGCTTGTCATCAAGTCCGCAGAAGACGATCAAGTCAAGTTCAAGGCGCGGTACGTAATAGCTGGACATCGCGACCGCATGAAGGCCCTCATGGTCCACAGTGAGGCCACGCTACAGCCCCAATCCATTCGCCTCCTACTTGCCCTCGCTTCGATTCACGGCTTCGACATCTGGTCTTCCGATGTCCGCCAAGCATACCTCCAGTCCGCCGAACCGCTTTCTAA